CTCAAAGTAGGTTGGATACGGCCCCCGGACCAAAATGAGTTTGACACCCCTGGCCTACTTGAAGCTTTTCTTTACTTCACGTGTCTGGGATAGGATCAAGCCGTTGGTTTCCCATAATTCTTAGTAACAATTTACCTAATTAGAAGATAAGAGTTGAGCCTGTCACTTGAATGATATGTTAAATGAATAGATTATATTTTACATTCTCAATTTTATTTCTTATTTAACTGCTTTTACCAGACAGTACATGATGTAAAGAGTTTTTGTCTTGGCAAGAATGAATGAAAACCAGGTACAGGCCTTTTAAAAGACTGATGTATAAAGACAAGGGTAGTGAAGGGGGCAAATGTATGTATGTATCTTAGTACAAGTACCATCAACTTGTTCACATATTATTGTAAATATGATGTAGAGAGATTTGTCCCCACTGCTCCTGACCTGAGTGTAGACGTCCAGTCCCAGGCCAGCAGAGTCCACCACCACCACAGTGAGCAGGGACTGGAGCAGAAGAGCCACAAATGTATTGACCCCAAACACCAGGGCGTACCGCTGCATGCTCAGACTGGCTGCTATCTGGAACCTACAAAGCACAACACTTTATGTAAACAAAAGATTACACAGCAAGACATATTTTTGGTATGCAAGAACCAGGAAATGCTGAAGATTTGAATGTAAAGTTTTTTATAGTGTAGTTTTAAGAGAAATATAAAAAAAAAACAATAATAATAAAGGTGCTCTATGTAACTTTTTGGTTAAGGTCCCTTCACCTGTTTGCTTGATTGATTGACTGAGTTATTTGTCATTGCTCTGCCTGGAATGTTCCAGTGTGACATTAAACAACTCTACCTTACATTTGATCTGTAACAGGTGGTTTTATAGCTCAAAAATATGTAGACAAACAGGTATCCTGACAGTGAGTGTGTGACTCTGTCGCCTCTCCACAGATCTGACCTGTCACTTAATCCGGTTTAGCCTCCATGAAGATAGAAAGGTTTAATGCCATACTGTGAAACATTCCAGATTAAGCAATAACATCTCCATGGAGAAAAGCATCTGACGGAACCTCCACCAGAAAGATTACACAATGCAGCTTTAAAGCACTGTAGAAGAAGGATGTTAAAAAATGAAAAGTTAAAAAGTTAAAAACTGCAAACATTTAAAGAAAAAATTAAATTCTGTCTATACACAATATGAGAAATTATATTTATTTTGTGTTAAAATATATGAAAATATACATCAAGTCTGCCTGCAAACTGGAATATAAAGAATACAACTAGAATGTTTTCTAATTTTTTGAGGAGTAGAGATATTTGTTTAAAAGTTTTTGAACAGAATAAAAACAGAAACTTCATTTGTTCAGAGAAGTTACATGTCTCATGACTTACTGCAAGACCTATTTTAAGAATAGAGGATGGAGGAAGAAGTCATTCCAAATAATGCATTTCCTCACACCAAACAAAGAAGTGATTTCACTGTTGAAAGGGTGGTTTGACACATCCTCGTTTGGTTATTGTATTTACATTCTCTGACAACACATTTTATTCACTTAAATTGCATTAAATCAAGCCCAGATGTTGCAGTTACAGAGAAATTACAGAGAAAACTATTATGGCTGAGAAAAGTGGAATCAAGCTGATGTAAATTTCACTAAATAGAAGTTTTAAGGAGTTTTCAAAATAAGAATGTATAGGATTGTAGAAATACTTTCCATTCTAAATGTACTGAAAGGTAGTCTCTCAGAAATGTAACACACAGAACACTTGAACACATCAGGCCAACCCTAGCAGCTTACATCTGTCACCATAAGAAACAGTTACACCCTCAAGCAACAATGAAGACCCTTTAACCCCGAACCCTGTCACCACACAGATTCATTACGAAATAATATTTATAATAGTGAAATAATTAAGGCTAAATAATGTCATTTTCATTGTTTACATGATCTTAAATGCAGGACAGAAGAGCGACCATTTCCATACTCACGTTGCCACGGTGATGAGTAGCATGTAGATGGTCCTGAAGAGCACGTAGAGACTGTAGCAGGTCCAAATGTTCCCCAGGAGGTCCATCCCAAACACACACAGAGCCATGAGGAGAGAGAGGAGGGACAGGGCCAGCTCCCCCCACACTGACCACGACACAGGGAGGAGGCCCACCAGGAGGGCGGCCAGGGCACCTACAACACAGCCACGCCAAAAAGGGTTACTTAGACGGCTCTAAAACAACAATGACCAATTTCACTTCTGAAAGAGTTCAATTTGAAACACCATAATGTTTTCAGATTACAGATTATATTTTTACCATTTTAAAAATGTGAATAACAGATTTAGTTCATTTTAAATAGTTTGCAATGGTCCAAAGTAATTCCTCACATACCTTACGCATTCAAGCATCGTCATTAGTCACTGAGATGAGTTTTTCACAACTCTCACAGACTAGCATGCTAACAGCACACCAAAAGAATCAATAAAATGCTTTAATTAGATGTCAGTATAATATAATTAGGTCAATGGAGGCATCTGGGGGACAGTATGAATTATGACCTAAATTATTGGACTAATACAACATCTTATAGGATCATTGGTGTAAAATGTATTGTTTTATGGCAATTACTGCACAGCCCCTCTGCTCCTCTGCTTCCCTCCTTATTAATTTATTCCTAGTTTGGCCAGTAGATAGCACTAAAGATAGAGGTAAGGCAGTAACATCTGCTGCACTCATGTAATTAAGCCCAGTTGCACAGGCATGCAAACCAAACCCAGGAAGACAAAAGGAAAACACAGAGACACAGGTGAGTAAATCTATCTATAAAATTAGTTTTTAAGTATAGTTAAAACAGTGAAACTGGTGTTAAGACCATAAGGACACAATAGTGTAAAAATAATCTTCTTTAGTCTTAATTTTTAAGTAAAGTGAATATTCTGTTTAATTTAAGTAGCACAACAAGAAGCCTTAGTTAAATTGTAAATGCAATTGGCTGATTTATTTTATGAAATGTCCAAATTTAACAGTAATTTAAGAAATACATTCAGACAATAGATCAAATTTTCTTCACTTTCAGAACTTAATTTACTAATTGGCTATTGGTTGTTTAAATATATTCCAATTTACTGTAAATGTTGTAAAATGTATTCAAGCCTAACCAAGTTAAAGAAGCATTAATTTTAAAAAGTGTATTATTTAGCAATTAAAAGCTATTAATTAATTCATAAAAATCTGATATAAAATAATACTATTACATTTGTTTCATATATCTAATCATTTAAAAAGTTATAGAAAATAAGATTAAAATTTAAATTGGTAAAATGTTACATTGTTTAAAATTGTAGCCTAATTGAGTTAATCTGTAAAAGGTATATTAATGAATATTGTAATTAAAATGTATTAATTAAAATCCAAATAGATTAAAATACAAACATAAATGCACTCTACTACTACTACTACTACTACTACTACTACTACTACTACTACTACTACTACTACTATAGAAGAAGCTGAAAAAATTCAATAAAAGTCTTGAAGCTGAGTTGAGCCTTGTGTGTTTTTAATAGCAGTACATTTTGCTACCGTGAGCCACATTATTAGTCTGTCCTCACCGAGCAGCGTGGACAGCGTCTCCACGTATCCGTTGTAGATGTTGTAGTCCTGGGACGATCGGACCTTCTCCCACAGGACCTGGGTGTAGTTAATGACCTGGAAGTACCCACACGTCGCCAGGGCCCACCACAGAGACCAGGCCAGCAGGGGGCGGCACCGGTAACAGCACAGGAAGTCTGAGAAGAGCAGCCGGAGAACCTTCTGCACCCCCCCGCTGGGACCCTTTGAGTCTTCTGATCTGCGCTCCTGCTGAGAGAGGGAAAATACAACACGGGATGCAATGGAAATCAAAACATTTACAACAATAGAACAGCGTCTAGGAGTCTGGGCAGCAAAATGTGTAATCAGAAGAGCTCCAGGTTTTGTATTGTTAGATTTTTACCCCGTCTTACCCCAGTCAATGATGTGTTTGATAGTCACAGCCGCCACACACTACAAGAGAATTTGCCTTAAATTTTAGGTGAGATTTGCTTTTCCCCAACTTCAGAGAAATATACGAATTTGTGTCTTTGTGTGTGATTTTGAAGCTGCTGCACTCCTCATGTGTGGTGTTAGTGTGACTCTGAGCTGCTCTGTCAGATCAGAACCACCAAACCACAATAACAGCCAATAAAACAGAGCATCAGGGAAGGGAGTGATGGACATAGAGGCACACAATACAAAGTCAGAAAATAACAAAAAAGAATTACTACTCACCTCTTGAAAAGTGGTAAATTTAAAGTGCAGCATTTGAAGTGATAATGACTCTACTTCCTGTGGGCTATGGACTTTATCGCCAACCTACTGTGCATTAAAAATCATGTATTTGAAGTTTTGCACCACATTTCACAAATACTAATAACACAGTTTTGACTTGTATCTAACTAGAAGTGCAGAGCTCTGATCTTTGAACACTTAATGCCCTGTTCCCACCAAGAGCGAATTAAGCAAAAAAAATTGCATCTAACACCCCTAGTTGGACGCTAAATATTTTTGAGTCACTCACTTCATTTGCACATCAGGGACACTGGAGTTTGAGGATTTGGTCGCACAAGGTCGCACAAGTAAGTACTTTATTTGCTTGAGGAGGAGCCACTGCACCTGTGCAAGGCACTGTGCAAGGATTTTAAGTTTGGTGATGGCAGACTACAACAGCAACGAGCAAGTTAACTCACCTGATCTGTTGTGGAAAGCAGATTTTCCCTACTGCCCTACTGCTGTTTTGGACTTAAAAGTTTCTAAGTGAGTGGTTTTACTGTAGACAGGAAACAGCTGCAGTGATTGCATTCACAAGTTTGTAGCCTGTGGTACACAGACATCTTATGCAGCAGTCTTTTCAATCGGAGATTTTAAGTCTCATCAGATTCCCTTTATGTATGTTTGTCGCACATTTAAAAATCGTTTAAGACTGAAAAATCCTGTAATGTGTGGGGGCCTTTAGTAGACCAAAATTCTTACTACTGTATTTTCCATACCATATGGCGCACTCTTAAGCTTCCAACCCCATCAAAAAATGACCGTGTGCCCCACAATCCAGAGCGCCCTATACACGAATCCACTCAGGTGTCCCAGCACGACCTCAGTAAACTACAAAGCCACACCACCCGCAGCACACGCAAACACACACGGAGCAGACAACGACCGCACAGGGAAAAACACCCACAGACACACTCATCACTCCACGCCGACGAGGAACGGAACGGAGGAACGAACCGAAAAAGCGAGTGCAATGTGCCACTTCTAGACACAACTGAACAACTGAGTCACTGTGAACACGCCGACAATCCGTTGGTCCCAGACAGCACCCTCCCTACACGCCACAACTGAACAAAGCCCAGAGTCACCGTGAACGCCACAAACAAACAAAACCACTCACCCATCACACTGTTGTGTTTCCTTTAAAGTCCCACGCGGTTTATTTGTGAAAAAAGTTTTAAAATAGACCATTTAATGACAGTGCGTCTTAAAATGCAGAGGCCCAACAATGCAGAAAATACAGTAGTCATGCAGGCAGGGAGAGATTTAGTTGGAGTGTTGGAAATGATAAGTGAATTAATTTTTTTACACACACATGCTCTGTTTCCTATCACTTTCCTCTCTATATAAGTTGTAGATATTGTGTAAACTCTCATGAGCTTGTGTGATCATGATAGACAACACCAATATTACTAGAAGATAATCTATCAGCTGAACAACTAGAAATACTCCATAACTCACCACAGAATCCTCTTGTCCATTGTCAGTGAGGGGCACTTTACTGTCCGTCTCCCCCTGCATAAGCCCCGCGCTGCTCTCCGGACCCTCTCCGCCCCCTACAGGACTCTTATGGAAGAACAGGCTCCTCTTGGGCATGGGCAGAAACCAGGGCGCCACGAACGCCACTACTGCCGACGTCAGCGTGATCGCCACCAGGTAATACAACTGCACCTGGGCCATGGAGAGGAGAAGCTGCCCCAGGAGAGAGCCCACCGCTGACCCGAACAGCGTCACGCTCCGACAGTACCCGGTCACCCTCTGGTAGTGCGCGGGCTCCACCACACTGTAGATGTAGGAAAAGTAGGCCACCTCAGAGGCAGAGGCCAGGCCAAACAGGAACTCCATCAACTGCATGGCCCACACACCACGAACTTGGAGCAGCATTGCGTACGTCGCCACCAAGCTGCTGGCCTGGAGGATCAGCACAGGCTTGTAGCGCAGGAAGTCTGTAGCCAAAAAGACAGGGAAGAGCAGGAAGAGGTAGGAGTAGGTCCAGATGGGGTAGATTTCACTGACAACCTGCGGATAATACAAACAGATCATAATACATGCAAAACCAAAACAATGTTTAATTGTTAAATATTGAATTTATATTGTTAAATATTTAAAACAAGGTCTAGCGTTAGTTCCATGTAGGCTTGTCACGATAGCAAAATTTGAATTACTTATTAATTTGATGATACGTTTAGATATCGTGGGCTGCTGTATCGATATATCACCAAGAGTATTTTTGGTATATTTTACTAAATTTTTTTGTTAGAGCGCTACAGTTTTGTTGCTTGTTCAGAGGAAAGAAACTTGTTTATGTGACAAATTTGGCAAATTGACTGTTTTGACGATTAAAATTGGTGCGTTTCACATGAATCTTACACAGGTTGTAGTTTAACAAAGACTTAGTGTCACATCCATGATTTTGCCTTTATTTTTTGTTGAACTGTATTGAATCAATTTAAAATATATCATATTGAATTGGAAGTGCACTGTATCGAGATATGTATCGTATCATGGCCTATGTATCGAGGTATGTATCGTATCGGTAACTTCTTAATGATACCCAGATCTACCACTGACACAAAAATAATAATACAGGATAATTCCAGCAAACACATTTTTAAATAGACAGTATCATACAGAGGCATGAGCTGTAACATACATGTAAGATGAATAAGTTCAATGCCATACTGTGGAACATTCGAGGCTAAGCAAGAACATCTCCCCCTGAGGACCATTAAGTCTCTTAAGTTTTAAAATGCTTTTATTTGAAATCAAGTGCCACAAAATGAAATGAAACATTATAGCAGAAGTAACTGTTACTTTTCGTTATCAATTAATTTACTGTCCCCATAAAAATCACATACTGCATCACATAGAAGTTTATCAATATGAATTTTCAGCCATTTTCAGCTCCAAATCTGTCCAAGCATGGAATTATAGTAGGATTAACCCAATTAGAATTTTCTCAAAGCATTTTAGGAAGACTTGAGACAGGATTCCTTTCATTCTTTCACCTCATGACCACTATCGCCTACAAAAATGTCAAGGCTACTGTGATGTATAGTCTACTCTGAACTAAAAGAAATATTCAAAACTAAGAAAACAATATGTATAACTGATAACACTGCTGACATTTCTAGAAGATTAACTTTTCTAGTTTGGTCTAGTTTAGTCCCAATTAAGTCTTTATCTAGTTATTGTTCAGAACTATTTAGACCTGGTTTAGTTTAACGATGATACAGCAAACTTGAACAGTCAGATATTGTTTTAGTGGTAAGCAGCCATCTCAGAATGTAGATCTTTAGCCTGGAATGTTCCACAGTATGGCCTTAAACTCCCCCTTCATCATCTAACTCATCATCATGGAAACAAGAGACACCAACAGGACATGTTGCAGGTCTGTTCTGTGGAATGGCGACCCACTCACACCAAGAATCCAAGTGTTTAAGGAATTTTTGAGCTATAAAAACAATGATGTGATTGAATAAAAAACTGCTGCAATAAGGTGGAGGAGAATTCTAGTCAAAGCGATTGCCTATAATCTCCATGGAGACTGGAAGGTGGCAGACCCCCACCAGAAAAGTTACATATTCCACCTTTAAGTTGTATAACTGTTAAAAGATACTAAGAGATATTGACGAACTATTTTATGATCCTCTATTATAACTGCTTAAACCAATAGAAAAACCTAAAAAGTAATCATATTTATTTTACAAGACACGTGAAGTCATCAGAGAGCAGACATTATAAAATCTAAATAAAATAAACAAATGCAGGCTTTCTTTTAAGAGGTCGCAACTTGAAATGAAAACAATCGGACGTAATTACGCACAAATCTATAAAAGTGCATCAAGTTTGAGTGCATTCTTATCACTGACACGAGTCTCTGGATGTCATCACTACACGCAGGAGCTAGTGTGACTTTAGCCTGACTCTGACGCTCTTGGTCCGGCTTAGGTGTCACCCTCACCTGGATCTCGGTGAGGTTTTTGTCCGGGCCCATGAGGAAGGCGGTGAGGAAGGGCTCGGACGGCCGCAGGTAAGAGAAGAACCCGCTGGCGCAGAGCAGGAGCGTGGGGTAGAGCAGAGACATGCCGACGATCCGACCTCCACACACGCCATCCATGCAATACAACTTCATCAAGCTAGCTACGATCCAGGCATTACGAGATCTACTCTGTTCCTCTGCTAGCATGCGCAGAGGAAGGAGTGTGATAGCGACATCTACTGGTCTGGAAGAGATGTACCAGTAGGTTTAACTTTTTATTTTTATTTTTTTTGCCTCATTAAAACATTTGAAATTTAACTATGAAATAAGACAGACCTGCTCATCTCTACGGAGGTGTTCCACATTATGGCATTAAATGTATTGCTGGGTTTCAGATGACATCACAACATTCTATAGGCCAATATTATTAAATAGGGTGACCAGATTTTCAAAATAAAAAAACTGGGACACCCTTTGTGATGGTTGGTAATAATAATTTAAAAAAAATTGTGTAAGTAATTAATGGAAATCGTTCTACATTCGGCCGATTCATGATTAACATGTGTCAGTATAGTCACATTTTCTTTACTCTCTTTACTGTCGGCATGGATCAAACGATTCCAAAATAGGGACACCTGGGATATTTCTTGTATAAAACTGGGACAAATCAGTGGTTTTGGATAAATCTGCTGGTACAGGGGACACAGGCTCAAAACTGGGACTGTTCCCAGTAAATAGGGATGTCTGGTCACCCTAATTAAATACAGATAAAACAGCTAAAATGAATAGTTTTAAAATACAGATGTTTGTGGTCTAGTCAATAACAGAAATCACCTTTTAAAATTTTACAACAAAGTACATTATAATCAATGGGAAAAAAAAAAAAAACTTTCTCTTGCCTCTATCTGGAAGTATAACATGATCATATTCTAGAATCTGAAAACCACTAATATATTGCCATAAAAAATGTAACATACTAGGGGTTAATTATAAGTCATGATAAAGTTATAACAAAATCTCCATAAAGACAAGCAGGTAACGCCACCAGGCCATGTTTGATGTGTGCAGAGGTGACCCCACTCACCGTTAGAAAGCTTGTTCTAACGATAAAACACCTGTAACTGAATTGGTGGTTTTCAGATTCTAGAATATGACGATGTTAAACTGCCAAATTTGAAGCCTGATTTCCCTATTGATTACATTGTACTTTGCCATGAAATATCCAAAAGGTAAATTCACAAATGTTGAGCCTGGTATTTTCAGGTATTGACTAAATCCAAGAAGTGTTGCAACATTATTTTGCAGTTTAACAATTTTAATTTTAGCTGCCCCTCATCTGTATTGATTAATATTGCCCTATAAAATGCTGTGATGTCATCTAAAACCCAGCAATATATGCAAAATAATCTCCATGCATGTGGCGGACCCAGACTAGAAAATTTACTTAATCCACCTTAAAAAAAAATAATAATAATAACTTAATAATAATTTATTTTATCTTAATTCACAAAGGCAATATTAAATGATAAAACTATATACGAAAGGTGGAGGAAGTGTGTTGCCCAAGGATTCAACTGCAGATTGCCTTCGCCAGTAGTAGTCAAGGATCCAATCATCAACCTCTTGAATCTAGGCATTAGATTTTTGATTGGATATGTGTAAAATTTGTCTCATGTCCTTACAATCCCTGGGAGTCCCTGCTTAGACTGCTACCCCCGCAACCTGGCCCCAGATAAGCGGAAGAAAATGGATAGACGGATGGGTCCTCACAATCGCTCAGTCATTCAGGTAATTTCTATAACAAAAGAACAAACCAACCCCATATTCACATACCTTAATCATTTATTTAGATAGTAGCTACACCCAGATGTTTGACAATAAAACCAGAAGAAAACGTTAAGATATCCATTTCTGACACAAGCTGCAAATTAAATCCACATAACGAAAAAGTCCCCCTGACTGTAGCACATTCAGAGAGGTTAAGACAACACGGTGGTCCAAGAATGATGCAGGAGAGCCCACTACACTGCACTGTTAACAGACCTAGAGTGACCGGTACGGAGGCGGACTAACTGTTCTAAAGCAAAATACAGCAACTGTGTTTGGATCGGTGGGAGTTATAATGTGTTAAAATGTTGTAAATATCGTCAGCTTTAGGTTCATTTCTGTTTTGTTTAGTGTAGAGATCAACTATAATTGTAATAGCTTTAATTAATGCATAAAAACCAGTGTGTAGGTTGCTCAAATAATTTAGAATTTTATGGGCAATTTTTTCAAGCAGAAAATCCAATCTACAGAATTTGAACTTTTATCTCTTTGAATTTGTTTGTTTTCTTTAAATTTTTATGTCAGATAAATCAGTTTGAGATCCGTGTTCCTATTTCCCATTTTGAGTTTTTCTACATTTACAACCCTACTTTGAATATGAAAACGACATAATTATTTGATAAATAGATCAAATGGCTTATATTCTGAAAAAATAAATATGCAGTTTTTCAAGAATCTAACTAGGTGTTGCCATAGTAGTACTTATATTTAATAGATTTCCAAATATAATTTTAAACAGTAAAGCTATGTAAATGGGTGAGTTAAGTTCACGAAGCCCACCACATTTTGAAGCTCACTTTTAGAAATAAACCTTTGATACTGTAAATGTAATAGAGTTTTAGCTGTTAACATTCAGTTATGAGTTTGTACAGTAGCGGACTATATTATTATGCTATTTGCACACAGAGGCGGACCTTTGTAAAGAATGGTGAGATGTTTCATGTATGTTGTCAGATAGAAACGGAGTTGAAGAGCTACATGGTGAAGTGCCTTGTGTAGTCGTATTCTATTGTTGGAATGACAGCCTGCACAAACTTTAGGAAAATTAAAAGGTACCTGAAAATATTAGTTAAGGAAAATGCATACTTGGAGTGTGTTTTGACTTGAAATATGTTGATAGTAGTTGATAAAAGTGGTATTAAAGGATACATATGGACCCCGAGCTCTCCTCCTCCTTCTGCCACTGTCTCGATGATCTTTTTCATCACTTCTGCGTGTCTGTAACAAAACACAAGAGCGGCCAGGAAAACATTTTTATTAAGAAAAGTGTACAAGTCAAAGCAAGATTTATAGGATTAAAATATGGAAGATAAAGGTTACAACATCATTTCTAAGCAAATCAATAGGCTCTATTCACGTTCATGTCACAAACTAGGAGGACATTTGGAAACACGCGATGGTAACTTCCCGTGTAGTTACAGAAACTGGGCTCACCAACCGACTGTGATAAAACTCATTGAAGTACGATAAAACCATGGATTCAGCAAACTATAGCTGCGGTCTTCATAGCCTGCCAAAGCTTCCCATCCTCACAGGCAGCTCAAAACCAGGGAAAGATTACAAGTTCTTTGTAGAAACGTACTGTTGGCTACCATAGTAAGTATTATTTGCCGGAAAATTGAGATGAATGCATTATAAATTATTTATCATCTATTTATGTATTATTAAAATGATGAAAACTGAGGTATGGTTGGAACTGTTGATTAGTTGAACATAACGGAACACTACAATGACATGGACATGAAGAAAACTGAGACATTCTAATTTTTCCTAGATTTTGTCAGACTTACGACCCTGAACAGAACCCGCCGGAAGTTGTCATCGCATGTTTCCAAACGTCTTCTGGGATTGTGACGTAAGGGGGAATAGAGCTTACAGTTCGCAGGAAAAACTGAGAAATGTAGAAAGTTGTTGGTACCTGCAGGGGTGGACAGAGCACATGGCGGGTGGGGGGAGGTGGGGGTGGTTCTCTATGGTTACAGTCTTCTTCACATGGTCCTGGCTGATGTCCTCATACATCTGCTCCACTGTGAGTGGCTGTCGGTCCTGAGGAGACAAAACAGCATTGTCAGCCTGGCCTGGCCTGGCCTGACAGAATGAGTTTCTCTAATTGTATTCCATTTGGAGTAATCGAGTCTGATGTTCTGGTATTTTTGCAGGACATATCACAGTGCAGAGGGAGGGGTGTCTAAGGCTATTGGAGGACACAACGACGTCACACATAGTGAGCGTGTTCAGTGTTTACGGAAGTAAACAAGCCTAAACATGGACGCAGCATCGAGCACCTGGACATTTTAAAGCTGCTGTCATACTAGAGCCAGAACATGCACATCTTATTTTACGGGTCTCCAAAGTTTTTCCACCGGTGAGTTACCTTTCCAAAACAAAACTGCTAGAGAGCTACTAATTTTAGCACTCATGAAAAATTGAGTATAAGAGCCACAGCCTTAGAGGGGTACAGTTAGATGCCAATGAAACAAATCATTATTCGCATTGCACAGATTTAGGCATAAAAATGATACATTTACACTGGTAATGGGCATTTAATTATCACAATTTGTAGTTCATATCAGCACAATACATATAATTCAGAAATCATTTGGCGAGCAGAAGGAAGGAGGTGGAGAGCTCCTGAGAGCTGGAGGAGGAGATGGAGATTGAGAAGGAGAAGGACAAGGTTTTTGGCCATGGCATTTTGTGGGGCAATGGCGGCAACGTCTATGTAGTTCACTGCTTCACTGACACGGAGTTCAGACACAATGTTCATCTGACGAGAAGAACATTTGTGTACATTTATGACGTGTAGGTAGATGAATATGATCTGGCCGTTCAGACTGAAGTCGCATGTCAAAAGATCAGATATGTATCGGTCTTAGGAGCACATATCCAAGTTTCCTGGGTTGCATTTGAAAAAATCGGATCCGTGTCATTCAGACATTGTCATTAAAAGATCAGATACAGGAGCATAGAGATGAAAAATCGGATTTGGGTCACTTCAGGCTGCAGACTGATCGTAGCCTAAACGTCATCAATCAGACTCAGTTTCTCTGTTTGAAATATAGTGAAGTAATGAAGTCATTCTGGCCAGGATACTGTAATCCTGCCAACCACCCCGCTGCACTCTACCGGCTGGGTACACACCTCGTCATAGCCGAAGAGCCAGAGTCGAGGGGTCTGGTAGTACTTGTCGTATGTGATGTACAGGTCATAAGTGCGGGTTTGGAGGATGGCGTCTTCACTGCCTGGTTCTGCTTTGGGCTTCGTTTCCACCATTTTACTTGTGTCCAAAGTCGCCTTGGAAAAAAACATACAGGGTAAGAAGCAGATTCTGACACATTTCAATACTCGATTCAATGTGGATTTTTATTAGTTTGAATATTCTTTACCTCATCTGTTTCCAATAAGCCACTTTCTTCGTATTCTTGGAAAAAAAAAGTTACACCGTAAGTAAATGTTTCTTTTTCTGTCGAGTTTAAATATTTGAATGATAAATACCTTCCATATCTGCTGCTTCTCCCTCTTCATCGTCATCTTCATCATCGTTGTCACAACAGGCTGGCGACGTGGCGTTCATGTTTTTGTCCTGTAACCCAAGTGTGAATATATATCAGTGTGAGCATAAACACTTAAAGAGACAATAAAAGAAATGAATGTTATATAAATGTAGGCATACTTTACTATTGTCCAGAGAAATTTCCCGCACAGCATCAGTGACTCCTAATGTACCTGATGCAGACAACAAACAATGAACTTCTGTTATTGACTCCTAATAGACACATCAAGAATCTCGGACTTCCGGTCACTGTGCAATGCATACTGGGAAGGATTCTCCGAAAACGTGAGCATCAAACCGCCACATCTGTTTTCCCAGTGGGATGTGTCTACTGACAAAGCCGATCTTTTCAAGTCTTTTGAACCGTATCGCTTTTGTTTCTGGTTCTGATATTGTCATATTTTAGTTTTGGGATTCGGACATCGTAATTGTGTGGTTGTTGGATCCGAACAGCGGAAAACAGCGGTTTGTTAAGTGAGAGGTACAGAAGACAAACAGGTCGAGCTCACACTTTCTTGTTCTTGTAGTTTTACAGCAACATTAAGTCCTGGTCTCTTTACAGTGGAAGATGTTTTTGGCGAACAGCTGGTACCTTTTGCTTTGGCGTTGACTTTTTAAATTCATAACTAATCCTGAGTGAGGGATCGGGATTCTGCTTCGATGGCGCTCATACAAAATGTTTGCTGCAAACTCGGGATGATTTAAGCAGTCAAAGGTTACATTTTTCGTCCTTCCCGTGGATCAGTCCTGCCCATCACCTTCACCTTTCACTATTTTTCAATTCCGTTGGGAAGAGAAACAGTTTGAACAGAGGTTTGCAGTCACACACATCTGATTCCCTTTTGCATCTATGAAGTTCACAAACACATTTCTCGAGTCTTTTCTGCTGTTAGGATCCAACAACCACAAAATTAACGATGTCCGAATCCCAAAACTAAAATATGGCAATATGAGAACCAGAAACAAAAGTGAAATGGTTCAAAAGACTTGAAAAGATCAACTTTGTCAATAGATGCATCCCACTGTAAAATCAAACATGGCGGTTTGATGCTCACGTTTTCGGAGAATCCTTCCCAGTATGCATTGTGCAATGACCGGAAGCCCGAGATTCTTGATGTGTCTATTAAGAGGAACATTGTTATTCTCAATCTAAAAAAAACTTTATACCCAAATTTCTATTAATATCAGTTGTATTAGTTCTACAGATTGAAATTAAACATTTTTTCAAACACATTTCTTGTAATTCGGATAAAAAAAACATAACCACTTACTAGCATTGTGGTAAGTGTCCACCCAACCCCCATCACCATCATCTTCTTCTATGATGGCCTCTAGTTCATCTGAGTACTCCATTTGTTTACAGCGCTTATAACAGGGAACTGAAAAAACAAGATTTAACTGTCACTTCCATGCCAAATACTGTACACTTGTTAAATACACCTAAAGTGTGCCCATATAAATAAACATGTTATCAAAGTTCAAACTTACCATTGCGCGTCAGGAGGAATTGTTTATCAGGAGGAAGGTAAGGCTTTACTTTGCTTTCTTCTCCAGATGCCCTGAAATATATTAAACACTTATTATAATTTTAATTTAAACTTAACTACATTTAACAAACGTTTCTATTTCAGTGATAAGTTAAATGTTCAAAAAGGAACTTAGTACATTTTGAAAGCACAAAAATGACCATGTTACACCATTATGTGAAATTCTAGATGAAGGAGAGAAGTGAGCCATAATGAAGACAGCTCGTTACACAACGACTAGTATTGACCCATCAGTGAGGGCAAATTTTTAAACCGGATGCTGCCAAATAAGTGTCTGGACTGGAGCGATCAACTGTCTTGCCCATGGACACAACAAAAATCATATTATCCCATCATGCAACCTTTACAATTTACACTACATATTGTTTTTTGCTTATATATCTCTGTTGAACTTATATATAAAAATATGATCATGGAAAACTACTTAATAATACATTTTAGTAATAGTAGTGGTAGTAATTATAGTACATTTTCCCCCATTTTTACACATATCTAATCAAAAATCTAATGCCTAGAAGTTGATGGTTTGATCCCTGACTACTACTGGCAAATGTAATCGGCAGTAGGCTGGTCCATCAAAGCGTGATCCAAAATAAAGTGTCAGATAACCTCAATTAGAACCTGCATTAGGTTTTAGCACCAAAAGATGATTTACAAAGAAATTTGGAGGAAAAACAAGATGTTTTAGAGGTTGCTAAAGCAACATGAAGTTTCTTGGAAGTTGACAAATGTTATGTTTTCAAGTAACTTTTATGGAGTTTATGGAGTTTTTAAGCAACTTTTATGCAGGTTTCAGTTCATGTTTACAAAATAAAATGGCAAATTACTCGAATACACCTTATTTATTTGGTTCTACATTGTAGTATAGGTCCTATAGAGCAAAAGTGTCTTGTGCAACCTCTAAATATAAATTTATTTACATAAAATTTTGACTCAAATATTTTGGCCAGATATGGAACCAAATGCAGGGTTCTAATCTAGAGAATCTGAAAAAATATATTTTTGGACCACCCTAATCTGCAGTTGAATCCTTCGGCAACACACTTATCATTTAATATTGCCTTTGTGAATTAAAATTAAATATGTTTTTATACTATTTAATAGGAGCAGTAGTAGTAGTAGTAGTAGTAGTAGTAGTAGTAGTAGTAGTAATAGTAATCCCATATTTGACATCATAGCTCAATAGTTTGACTTCATGTCCCTCAGATAATAGGCCAGAATATTGCATATGAAAAAATATAATAAGCTTTAACAAACTTCAATTATCCTGAACATCTAATTGATACTAGCACAAAACAATAATGTAAAACACTTCATTTTAAAAAGAATCCAGCTGTGCAGTTTTCTTTTCAGTATTGCCAAATAACTGGTATTTGAACTGACACAGACTGACACAGATAATAAAAGGAATGCAGGAGAATACAAAGGTAGACTAAGAAGAACAGACTGACTCACCATTTCCAAGTGGGACAATGATGCACCAAGTGATCTCCAGCTGCAATGAACTGAACCAAACAGCACAAATTACCACCAAAATTGTCAATTTTACCATAAAAAATGATCACGTTAAATTTCGTAGATTTCTCTTACCTCTTCAGGTGTAATGACTCCAGTCTCTTTAAATTTGGATTCCTGTGAGAGAGAGTTACTCATTTAATCATGTCATGCCTTCTTGTTTACAACTACAGGGCGGACACTTTGCAATAACACCCGCATTTGTAATTTAACCCACAAAATCTTTGAGATATTTTTTCGATCTTACTTTCGTTACATGCTCATATGATGTTAGCTGTCATATGCGATGATCTTGCAAATGTTTACGAGCCATTTTTCTCATTTCAAGGTGTTGTAGCATTTTAATAGCGTTTGTGATCAAGCGAAATCTCGCGCGTACCTTCAGCACGGGCGTGAACAGCTCCGCCACGCCGAGAGCGGTGCCTTTCACCGTGTTAATCACGTTTTGCATCGCGTCCGAGTTTTTAAATCGTCTCAAAAAACAATCTCCAAAAGTGTGCTGTCAAATTATTCGGGCATTGCTCCAGGCTGCAGTCGGTGAAAGCTAATCACATGATACGACATCAAAACTCTTCTGGTTTCCAAATCTCGCGAGATGCACCATTGAAAATGTTGTTGCCATGTTTGCGAATTTATATCCATTTAATTTTACGCATAATTTTACGCGTAGTTTTTCACTGAGATTCAAACGGGACTGAATCTTCAAAGGTTTAGCAAAATATTATTACAGTTTACATTTTTTTTGTGGCACATTTATTTTTGTGGTGTTTTCTCATAGGTCAAGTTGATCGTTTCCCTGGTTTGATCTGGCAACCCCGGTTAAAAACACAATCGGAACAGCGTGCAGTCTGAGTTAATTAGTGGGTGAATTTTTAGATAAATTATGATTGTATTTCCATTTTATTTGGTAAGATAGATGTAGGGGGACAGGCTTGCCACGTGGTTAGCCGTGCAAAGCTGACAACATGTGGAATCGAGCTGGAGCGTCCATATTTTTACGCACCGTGGTTCGTTGTGGTGCTTCCATTGACTTTGTAGCATTAAGGACATGTCATAACTCCTGTATGCATGCTGCTCAGGAGAAATGGACCAAACCTGAAGGCTATGACACGGGAATCAAGGTTTTCAACAGTCTGACCAAGCAGAAAGAGCCTCTAATACTGGCCAAAGAGAAGATAGCCACCTGGTATATGTTGTGTTATTTCTCATTTTTAATGTGTATAACTAAGTAATATTCAATTGTTGTGTTTCAGGTACAGCTGTGGTCCTACTGTCTATGATCATGCACATCTTGGTCATGCATGGTAAGTTTTAAAGGTGCACTATGTAACTTTTCTGTAGTAGGAGTCCTCCACCTGCTTGTCTCCATGGAAATGCTGTTACGTTGCCTAGAATGTTCCCCAGTATGGCATTAAACGCATCTATGTGGTAAATATTTTGTCTAGATCTGTCACCTAAGAATACGGGGTGTCCCAAAAAATTTGACATAATTTTAATTATGTCAAATTATTTAATTATATTTATCTTGAAAACTATTAAGTGTAGCTCATTGATGATGTTGATGTTGGTACCAGATCCTTTAGCCCTGCAGAAGTGGCCCAACTCTTTCAATTTTTGGAACCAAGTGTAAATTTGTTTGCCAGTTGGTGAAGTTTTTCCAGCTGCACAGTCTTGGGTGAGTGTGTGCTGCAGATTCCAAGATGCAAAATGACTTCTCTTTGGGAGTGAACGGCTCAGCCTGAATACAGAACAAAAATAAAACATTAAATATGAAATATTGATCTGTTTCTATACATTCTGTGAGGTTATTTCAACAAGAATTGCCAAAATTATTGGCCTGCAAAATTATGTCAAATTTTTGGGGATGCCCTGTACATATATATTTTATTTTGTCTGTTTCTTTCATTCCTTTATTATAAAATGATCAACAGTGCCATAACATTCAACATACAAGAAATGAATGAAAAGGAGTCGAAAGAAGAGTCATCTTATGTTTTCTGCCCCCTTTTCCCTTTTCAAGACAATACGTTAACACTGAGAATTACTTTAAAACATTTCAGATCAATATATTTCAGTTCAGTCACAATTATTAATCAATTGCAAACAAAGATCGTCACTTTTATGCACAACACCTTAGTTTCCTTTTTCATACACATTGTATTGGATTTTATGTGTTTTTTAAATGCCGTTATAGTACTTGATCCTTTTCTTTGTCAAGACTATTCCATAAATGAACTCCTTTCACAGTGATGCTTCGCTCCATAACATTGGTTCTAAATCTGTTTTTTTAAACATGTCGGTTCGTTTTAAATTGTAGTGGTTTATTTTCATCTCAAACAGTCTTTGAACTCCAGTTTAGACTTTCCTCAGTCATGACTCCTAAAAATTTCATTTCACTTACTCTTTTAATCTATATCCCATCTATTTCTAATGTTATGTCATCTTTTTTTTATTTTTATCATTAAATTAAATAAAAATTAATTTTATACATTTTATATAAAAATTGTTTTAACAGTAAGAATCAATCCATTTAAACTGAACCAATATTGTACTTTTCTTAGCTCTTCGTTTACCCCTTTTGACCTCTTTTATATCTTTTCCAGAGTATAATAATGTTGTCGCAGCAAATAGAATTTTCCTAAACTGTCCCACATGTTATTCCCAAGAATAAATGACACGATAAACTCCACAGATCCACTATCCACAGATCTGGCCTGTAACTGAACTGAACGTAGATACTTTTAATGCTATATACAGCAGAACACCTAAGCAAAGCAAAAACATCTCCACGAACACAAACAGTGTAGTACCTTTGCCAGAAAAGTGACACAGTGCAGCATTACAAACACATCATAACTCAAAATGGACGACTTTGTGGTTACAGTGTTTTTATTTTCTTTGCTGCAGTTCCTATGTGAGGTTTGACATTCTCCAGAGGATTCTCACGAGGTTGTTTGGGATCACGGTTATTCACGCGATGGTCATCACCGACATCGACGACAAAATCATCAAGAGGAGTTGGGAGGTAAACACAATGTGTTCATATTTTTAGTGCATTCTTTTCTTTGTTATTAATTAATCGTAATTAACCTGTTAATGTCCCACACCTAAACATTTACTGTACTGGCAAAGCTCAGTGTCATAGTAAATTGACTGTATTCTTCACAGGAAAACATTTCTCCATCCATACTGACAAGAATGTTCGAAGATGAATTCAAGAAGGATATGCTGTCATTAAAAGTGAATTTTTAATGCTCATTTCTATAGTCTGTGAAATTAGTTACTGCCTATTAACTAATATGTTACTAATTATTGTATATTTTATATGTTCTAGGTGGTTCCTCCAATTGTGTATCTGAGAGTCACAGAAAACGTTCACCACATTATCACATTTATAGAACAGATTATCCGGAATGGACACGCTTATGCCACGAGTGATGGTAAATTCAGCTTCTGTTTAACATTTTAAAGGTCCTGTATTACAGAAAATTGACTCTGGTGAGGTTTAAGTCATGTTAGAATGTTGTCCTCTCATCAAAAACATACCTGGAGTTGTATTTTTTCATTTTCGCTTGTTTAATTGATCTGTTAATAACAAAGTTGTCTTCTCTGAGTGCTCAAAAATGCTCCGTTTGCATTTTTACCATATAGTTTTGTCACAGATAAAACTACAGACGTTTCCAATGCAGTTTTTAAGCCCGTAGTCAGGGGAAGGACTAGTTTACTTTCTAAATGTTCATTCCCGTTGCTGACAGCAGAGGGAGCACCGACACTTAAATGTCTCATTGGAAACTGAAGTGTAGTTTATAAGTGTATTTTCCAAATGCAGACATTATTTTAAGTTAGAAAATGTGAAACACTTATGCCAAGGTGACCAAAACATGTTTAAAAGGGAATTAAACCCACAGGAAAGCATCATCTCAGTTTTTAATATATTTTTAACAATACAAGAAACAGAAATTATAAATCATTTCATTTGCAGTTCTTTGTGATTTCAGGCGATGTGTATTTTGACATTCAGTCCATTGGTGATCGATATGGGAGATTTATAGGAGCAATGGAGTCCCAAGAAACTGGTAAATTTTGTTCTCTTTTTAGTAGTATATGTAATAATATTAGATCCTCTCTTTTTTACCTGGGAACATTGGTAATTGTTTTTGAAGGAAGCTCAAACAAACGTGACCCTCGAGATTTTGCTCTGTGGAAGAAGTCCAAGCCTCAGGAGCCATTTTGGGAGTCTCCGTGGGGCCGAGGGAGACCAGGCTGGCACATTGAGTGCTCCACTGTGGCAAGGTCCAGAAAGCAGTCTATCTTATCTTATTTTAGCTTATTTCATTCATATTTTTATTTACTTACTTACAGTATTTTGGCCAGTCGAATGAATAAGCAAGTATACTAAAGATGAAGATGCTTTTGTCTATCCCATTTAAACTTCATGTAAATAATATACACCAGAATTAACATAATACAGTGGCACTAATAATATATTTTTAAAAAAATTCAACAGTTAACAAATATCTTTATTACAGATAGGAGTTTACTTTAACTAGAATATTCAAAAATAAAAGTGCATTTTTAAAATGTTAATGACTCACTCTTAATTTAACTGTACACTTTCTAACAAGCAAGTTTTATTGTACTATTTTGTTGTTTTGTTTTTGTTTTACTTTTCTGTGTAGTTCGGTGTTTGGCAGTCACCTGGACATTCACTCCGGGGGCATCGACCTGGCCTTCCCTCACCATGAGAATGAGATCGCTCAGAGTGAGGCCTACCACCAGTGCGGACAATGGTGCAACTACTTCCTCCACTCAGGTACGAGGTTTTTAGAAACAGTTCCTCCTCCACAACATGCAGCCCTAAAACATGATCAACCCAGTAAACCAGTCTCTTTATTGTTAAAATTAAACATGAAATAAATAGAACAACAAAACATTTTAGTCATCAGTTAGTATTTATATATAATGAGTTGTAGACATATATATATATTTCCTTTATAATTTCTACTAGGGATGGGCATGATTAATCGATTAATCGATAATTGATCATTAAGAATTTCATCGATTACGTTAATTTTAATCGACCGGATGTAGGTTGCTGTGCGTAGTGTGACCAAACAGGGGTCCGTACATGTAGCTCTTTGCACTCAGAAGGAGCGAGCAAACACAAACAGTAGGTCAGCCTGCAACGTACCGAAGCACAAATGCGTATTTAACGATGATTTGTACAAGAAATTCCACGCTTTCCGTTGCGTTCGGGACAAGTGTGAGTCCATGTGCACAGTGTACAAAGCAGGAACATATGTTTCGGTGTCCAGTATGAAAAAGCTTTACCAGGTGAGAGTCGCGCAATGTCGATGACGAGTCCCCACTTCCCTCCCCCCGTACGGTGTCCTGGTTTTGACAAACGCAAATCTGGTCACACTAACCTGTATTCCACTGAATCATGTCTTTTAATCCAACAGAAGTTGACCGCATCAGCGCACAAGAGCTGTAGTTTTATCTTCGCTGAGTTTATGCAAATTAGCGATGCGGTTTTAAGTTTCATTTCTGGGAGACTTGCGCAAAACTGAATTAAACACATTATAATGTCAAACGGATTGATGTGGCTCTAGAGTGGTTACGGTTTATATGTCGTAAAGTTGAATCTATTTATGCAGATTAGTGCAGATAGTAATAATAATGATGATCATTTTAATATAAAAACGTTAATGATTAATCGATAATCGATCGTTAATTCTTCCAACGATCGATTAAGAAAATGTCATCGAATGCCCATCCCTAATTTCTACAGCTCGAAAATGTATGTACTAAAAGAAAAGGAGATATTTTAGTCAGCTTTTAAGAGCTCATAATTAGTATCTCGTCCCGGACTCAACCGCGGTTGTACTCGGTCTTGTCTCAGTCTTGAAGGCACTCATCAAGTGATAAAATGGGGATAGATTTATAAGAAACATTGATATATATGTGTCATAATAACTGTAAAATACAAATAAATGTTGAAAATGACAAAGATGGTCTGGATTAGGTCTTGATGGGACCTGGTCTCGGCCTTGTCTCGGTCTTGTCCTGGTCTCGGCCCGGTCTCGGCCCTCAGAGGTCTCGGTCTTGTCCTGGTCTCGGGACCCTGTGTTCTCGGACAGGTCTTGGTCTCGGTTAGCACGCTCTTGACACTAATACAACAACACTTTATTTTACTTTTAACCATGTCATAGTTGTTTCCCTTCTTATATTCTTACTCGTGTATGTTCTTTGATCTTTATTCTCCTGCATTTAAAACGACATTGCTTCTAAAATTATTATTTCCCCCTACCCCCCACATATGCCCACTGCTCTGTACTTACCTTGTTTTCAGGTTTTTCTTCTTAAACAGTGACAAACATATGACTCAGCAGCACAGACATGTTATAATCTATAATCAGATTATTCAGTGTATGTTATAATTGGGAGATGAACATTAGCGTGTATTTGTAGTTACTTTTCTGGATATGTGACATGCTGCTGCTAATGTATCTAGACAGATCTTAGAGAATAATGCTGGTGAATGACTTCTGTAATGTGTCGTGTTTACAGGACATTTACACCTGAAGGGCACGACAGAAAAGATGTCTAAATCTTTGAAGAATTACATCACTATTCAAGTAAATACTGTTCTTCTGTATGTTGCAGTAATGTTAGTTTCAACATTCTGACATCTGTGAAATGTAAAGGTGTACTATGTAACTTTTCTGGGGTCTGTCACCAAGGAGATTGTTTTGCTTTTGCCTGGACTATTCCACACTATAGATTTGTTTGTATGTATGTATTCACATGTTTTTATTGCTCCAAAATTATATTCTTGCTAAGAGTGGGGTTTCCTCTCCACAGATCTGACCTGTAACATGGCCTGCTGCCAACAGTTGCTTGTCTCAGGAGATTAATCATTTTAATGCCACACTGTGGAACATTCCAGGCAAAGCAATATCATGTCCACAGAGACGAGCAGGTGCTGGACCCTTCATCAGAAAGGTTACATAGTGCATCTTTATTTATATTGTTCTGTTATGTAAATCAACATTTTTTTTTATCTTTAGGATTTCTTGAAGTCTTTCTCTGCCAGTGAGTTCAGGATGTTCTGTCTCTTGACAAAATACAGATCAGGTATGAAATATATTCTACTGTAGTCCTGCTGTAGTGTACTAGAGTAATGTGTCAGTGTTTGTGTGTGTGTCGTGTGCAGGTATAGACTACAGCGAGAGCATCATGCAGGAGGCCAGGGCATCGCTGGAGACCGTGTCCTCGTTCATAAACAGTGCTCAGGCCTATATGAAGGGCCAGCTCGTCACCGCACCTGTACAGGAGGCTCTGCTCTGGGATAAGTAAGTATCACACTTTGACAACTCACTGCACCAAACAAAATCACAACCTGTGAGTTTCTAACCACATTATAATGATTTGTCCTCATGATATGTTCTGACGCTGCAGAATCCTAAAATACTGTGTTTCAGGCTGGAGGAGACTAAACTCACAGTACAAACCGCTCTGGCAGATGACTTTGACACTCCCAGAGCGTCCAGCGCTCTGCTCAACCTGGTCTACCACGGCAACTGTCAACTCCAGCCCCTCTCCAAGGTGCTCCTCACAACACACTGAAGGCTATGGAGGGTCTGCTACTGTGCCCCCTGCTCATGTTTGTTTTGCAGAGGTTGGCAGTTACAATTATAGAAGTAGCTTTAGGAAGTATCACTTGAACTAAATGATTTGAGGATTTTATTGAGTGTCAAGGAGTTGAAGGTGAATTGGCAGGAGAATGGTTTATTTTTATTTATTTATTTATTTCAGACAGGGACAGCACACAATTTTTGCATTTTACCTTAACAGGAGAGATGCATTGTACATCAGGTTGTAGCATCCGTGCTAATTTCCACCTGTAGTCCCTGGACAGGTTCATTGATTGATTGTATTTAACTGACCTTGACTATCAACTGTTCATGGAGACCTGTAGCATGTTTTGGGTTGATGGGGGAAACCGGTTTTAGGGTAGTTCTAATGAAAAGTCACTCCTGATTCTGAAGAAGTGCTTATGTTAGTTGAGTCTTGTTGGGCAGAAAATTTGGAAATACTACAACAATTATGTTGTATGGCTGGTACTATAGTATATTGTTTGCTGTATCTTTAGTACTTGGTTTTGTGTTTAAAGTTTGTCTTGTGTGCAGAGTACAGGTGAGGCCCGCAGTCCTGCTGTGGTGGGGGCTCTGGTCAGCTACATCCAGGAGATCTTCCACATGTTTGGGATCGAGACATTCAAAAACACGGTCGGTGTCACAACAGTACTGAGGCTTACATGCTGCTTTAGTCCAGTGCTCCTCAGCCAGCCACAGAATAATTTCAGAGGTTCCCCAGAGAGTCTGCCCAACATGGAGATGTTTATTGCTTTGTCTTGAATGTTTCACAGTATGGCATTATACATTTTTATCTTCATGGAGACCACATCAGACCAAGGAGTGGGGATTTTTTAAGTGGGGGTACGTGATTCGTGTCCTCATCGATGTCACAAATTCATAACCATCTACAGAACATAAATCAGAGGCTACAACATGTGTGTCTAGGACTGAACCAGGACTGAACCAGGACTGAACCAGGACTGAACCAGGACTGAACCAGGACTGAACCAGGACTAAAACAGGACTAAAACAGGACCAATCTTGGAATTGAGAGCAAGAGGGAGAACCCAGAGCCTGCGGTGCAAGGTGTCCGCGGGTGCACCTCCGAGCCTGTTCCAACATTCAGTCCTGGTTCAGTTCTCCTTTAATCCTGGTTCGGTCCTGGTTCAGTTCTGGTTCAGTACTGGTTCAGTCCTGGTTCAGTCCTGGACCCTCATGTCTCAGGTCACTATAGAACAGTAGTGCAGATATCATGAGCCTGTGCAGGTTGTTTTCACCATTGCCAATAACTCCGGTTTGACATTTAAGTTGTAGCTGTTTTATATTTATTTTTTTATATCTCACGTCAGGAGAAGTGGGTGGCTCACTACAGGCCCACTACCCCCCTGCCGCTCACAGTCAGAATGTCTGTTTGTCTAGGTATTTTTGAGCTATAAAACCACCTGTGATTCAATAAATGTAAGGTTGAATTAACTTAACTAACTGAATTAAAGTTAAGGTAGAGCTATTTAATGTTATACTATGGAACATTCCAGGCAGAGCAATGACATCTCCATAGAAACAAGCAGGGGTGAGGGACTCCAAACCAAAAAGTTACATGGTGCAGCTTTAATAAACAAGGCTCAACACCCAAAATGCATGTAATTCTCAAATGCAGCGGTAAATGTACTGTAACTATTTGTTGTCTAAAATCAATAAATGAATAGAAGCAATGGTCACACACACATGTTATAATGTTTTTTATTTCTTCCCCCTTGTTTTTCTTTCAGGAGGGTGAGGCAGTGGGGAGTGGGCAGGACCTGGAGGCTGTGGTAGATCAGCTGGCCCGCTTCAGGAGTGAGGTGCGCACGTTTGCTCTGAGCCCACAAGAGGGCAGCAGTACGACAGGTAAACGCAGACTGCACCCAGACAGAGTCCCCCTGCTCAAAGCCTGCGACACGCTCAGAGATACACTGGCTCCACTGGGAATAGTCATCAAGGTATTTTCATTTTTACACTTGTCATAGTTACATTTGTGTCACTATTACTGAGAGTAAGAGTAATACATTTAGTCTCATTTAACCAAAACCATACCTCATATTGTAAACTGTTTACTGTGGTCTTTAACCAGGTTATAATGAGACTTTCTCATCATCACAGCTTAGTTATATTTAGGCTGATTCCTGCTTGTTTGCTTTATTGTACTTATTGAATGTTCAGAAATGTAGTTTTCACCTACCCCCTATCCCCACCCGCTGCTCTGTACGTACTGTACTGTTATTATTCAAAGGACTGTGTATAATTGTGTATAATTGTGTATACAGGACAGAGGAGCGACGTCTACGTGGGAGCTCACCCAGAGGAGACTCAGAGGCCCAGAGGAAAACCAGGACACATCCCAATAAACTCACACTGAGAATCTTGTTGTAATTGTTGTAATGTGTCTATAAACATAATTTCAGTTTTGGAATTGTACGATATGGGAAATATATTTTTTATTTCAAATTATGTTGTTGTTTCATAATGAATATTTATCTTTTGTAAATTAAAAATTAAAGTTGGAAAACATCAGAAACACCCTTCAACAGTAAATAAAGTATTCTTTTCCTAATTTCAAAATGTTTTTATTATCTGCTAAAAAGTGAAGCAGTTGAAGAAACACAAATTTCAAATTCAATATTGTCACCAAAAATAGATTTCTTTAAAAGTAAATGAGTACATGGTCTCTCATGAGAGACTGACAGATTCTTCCCTGGAGTTTTAGGTGTGGGATTATATCAAATTCCACTCGCTTTGTCCACAACTGTCAGCAAAAATGTATCTTTTTAAATTTTCCTAAGTGCCTTTTTATTTGCTCACAACTGAAGGGCAAATAAAAGGCAAGTAACTCCTCTCTGTGTCTACACCCTCTCTCACTGCTGCTTCAATGTTGTTTTATGAAAAGGTAAAAGTGATCAGTACCACAAGTACAAGTTTCTTATGATAAACCAAATTCACCTTAAAACCTGTCACCACATACTACTACAACACAACCATCACAATATTGAGTTGACACTTTTACTTTCTCTCCCCCCAAATCCATACATTTATATTTCCTCCAGACAGTATAAATAGTAGTCCATGTGGTTGGTTCATACAGCCACAGCGCCCTCTGGTGTCAGCCTGATGAGCCGGTTGCTGGCCTGGGCGAGCTCGGCGATGGACACTCTGCCTCTCTGTCGGATGAACTGAACCACAGACTCCAGCTCCTCGGGGGTGATGGAGATGAACTTGCCCCTGTCATCAATCACTCCTGCAGGCAGCACAAGCACAGGACAAATGTTTAGCTGAGTCTTCTCTTCTCATAACAGCTAACTTTGTGTCCTCGCTCACTACATCCATGTATATCCTTTTTAGTCTTACTCTGAAAGTCTCCTGTTATGTACATACTGTATGTAACCCCTTGACTTAAACCCGGGCTGCAAAGATGAGACAACTCTTGAGGATTTGGCAGCATTTATTCTATAAAGGTCTGGAACAATAACAGAAGTAGCTCAGGTGGTTACAATGTTGGACTGGCATCAGCTTCTGCCCTGTTATCAAGTCTCTTAACAGCAGAAGGGTCCACTACCTATTCCGACATCCCTTCATTACGACATGACTCTATTTAGACATGCCGGTTTTCCAACACTTTTTTGTATTGCTATTCTGATAAGTCATGTGTGTTTTGGGCTGTGAGAGTGTCATTTCATTGAGCTGACACAATGATCCTGATTGGTTATTTCTTTAGGCTATATGGTGTTCTCTGCAGATCACCTACATGACCAAATGAATGAAGCTCAAAGGGTCCATGGAGCCTCCGTTTTAGAGCTGATATTTTCCCGAAGGCTGGCCTATGCTCTTGTTTTAAAATGCATGACTGTTTCCCAAAATGATCAGTTAGGACATTTTCCCTCTGTCTGATCTCCTCTGTGGCCCAAGTATTCTTCGAGGCCCAAGCGTCTTATGACATATGGGAGCGCAAAGTATAATAGGCTATTACATTAACATTATTCATGTTGGAAAATAGTAAAGTGCCACTACTCCGACAATGAAAAAAAAAACATCTAAAGCAGCGTGTAACCAACCAACACTGCCAACTACCGGAAGATTCTGAACACAGTGGGGGCTTTAATTGATATTAAATACACAAGATAGATTCTATTTTGACACCATCCAATAAACAAAAGAACCTTGTTACATTTATATTCCCCTCATGTTTATTCAAAATGATCTGAATTCTCTTCATAAATAAATAAATGAATTCCACTACTTATTTCATGAGCATAAAGCTACTTATGATCAGTTCCGTTCACTCACAAAGTCCAGTGTATTCCTTCAGAGTCTGAACTCTGCTCCAAACCACGTGCTTTTACTGACAGTAGACTTTAGATCTGATTCTTTTAAAACTGCATAGCCCTAAATTAGACTGTCTGTATGAGAGATATTAGCACTAACCTGTGAGTGATCCATCTGCTAGCAGGTCTTGGACTCTCTTGATAGCGTCCTGAGTCCTCATCCCAAAATGAGAGGCCAGATCCTCCAGCAGCACCACCTTTGAGTTCTGTACAGACAAAACATCACTGCTACACAGCACAAGAGTCTCAGTCTAAACACCACTCAACTGTCTAATTCAAAGTAATATTGCATATAACGAATTTTGCGTTATAATTAGAATGATCTTGAGATTATTTTGATGACACTAATACATGTACTTAACTGTCCTGTATTTTTAAGTGACTTTTTTGAAGAGAAGAAAAGGGGAATTTAATATCAGCTTGATCTTTGTGCTTTGGTTGTGCAATAATAGAAAATAATTGGATTTATTTTGAAATATTTGAATAGTTAATGTTAACATTTTGAACAAGAATGTTTTTTGCATTTCATTTACCTCGATATACTGGATGAATTCTTGTAAGAGGTTACGAGACTGTGGGTAGAAACAAATGGTCACATACAGTACAACAACAGTGTTTAAAATGTTAAAATGAGCCTATTATTATTATTGGATTGTGGGTTGTACCTCGTCCTCTGTGAGCTGCTCTGCCTCCCCCTGATCCTCAATGACAAACTCTGCCTTCAGTTTCTGGTACTCCTCCTCCTCCCTCCTCTCCTGCTCCTCTTTGGCTCGCCGCTCTGCTTCCTCCTGTTCAAGAAAATCAAGACTTGTTATAAAAAAACAACTGCATATTTTCATTTATAAATATGTGAACACCAGATACACATTCATTACAATATATTAAAAACTATTAATTACAGCATAATCAAGCGAAGAAGACACTAGACCTGCAAGATTTGTGAAAATTATATAATTGCTCTTTTTCTGTCAAGCCTTGGGACTGCGATTAGATTTGTGATTTATGTTTTAATATGAGAATTTTGTTCCAAGTTCACATTTAAAATGTGTCCAGGAGAACTGACAAAAATATTTTTATATGAACTGACAAACTATCAAAAGAATCACATTTCAGAACATGTTTGTACACATCTAAACTACAAAGTTAGATTTTATACAGAATAAGACAGGATATTTTGTGGTTTGTGGAGGAAGCTGTGGTACAATCTGTTTGATTTTCTAATTGCGTCATTTCCAGTTGTGATTATTTCAAATAGATTGCGATGAATTTTACAGCCCTAGTATACACAAAATAAGCCTTCATAGATAAGAAAGATGTATTGACTTTTCTTATTTCATAACACGTAATCAATGACTCTCCCAAATCTGATGATAAAGGTTAATGATAAGTCGTTTGCAAGCAGTGATTTACATAATGCTGTGTTAAATAATTAATCAATACACTGGCATTTGTAGCTTTTAAACAGTGTTAGTGTTGACCTGTTTGAGTTCCATCTGCCTCTCCCTCTCTTCTTCTTGTCTCTTCTCCTGGTCTCTCAACTCCTGCATCTTCCTTCTCTCTTCACGTTCCTCCATCTCAGCCTGGAAAAACATCAGACAAATTCCATGAATGACCACAACTATGTTTCTAAACTCTTGTGACAGACGTCAGATTTCCACACCTCTCTCTGAGCTTTCTTGGCCTGTTTCTCCTCCAGCTTTCTCTGCTTTTTCGCTCCGATTTTGCCAGTGGGTTGAACATTCTGTGGCTCTGCTTCCTCTTCATCCTCAGGCTCATCTGCAACATAAATGGAACAAATAAATGATTACAAATTGTATTAAAATAAATCATTCATCAATACAATCATTTCATGTATTCTAAATTATAATAATGTATATAGCGCTTTTCCAGAAGCTTCATGGGCTTTGTAGTTTTGTGCATGTCACATTTTACACTCAGTGGTGAAGCTAAAGCTACTATTACAGCCACAGCTGCCAGGGGCAGACTGAAGGAAGCAAGGCTGCCAATCTGCACCATCACCCCCTCCGACCACCACCAACACATCAACACACATTAGGAAAGGTGGGTCAAGTGTCATGCCTAAGGACACAACAACAGTATACACGAGTCTAGAACCACTGATGCCCCAAGGCAGCACCTGATATTCTCTGTGTCCCATCCAAGTACTAACCCTGTCCAGCCCTGCTCGGCTTCTGTGATCAGTTATTCTCAAGGTGGTGGTGATGAAGTTTGATCTTTTAGAATGTTTGAGTCTTAATCTGGTTTTGTCTGCAACTTTTACATCTTACTTCAAGTAGTAGCACTTATCTTAATATATTTTTGATAATATTCTAATTATGTGTCCTTACACTGGTCTGGTTCTGGTCTCTCTTCTGCCTGTGCTCGTCTGTTGGCCATCACAGAAGCCATGCCTCTCCTCCTGCGAGGCATACCGGCCCCTCTCTCCTCTGGGACCCTCGGACGGGCCATAGCGGCCTGGACCACTTCACGCCGCTGCTCAGCATCAGCTGAAAAAATAAAATAATAAGATAAATGGTTGACAGCAATAACTTTGTTTCACATAACAATAGTCTTTAATACAGGTGTCCCAAAAAAAAAATTTACATCATTTCACAGTCCAATAATTTTGGCAATTCTTGTTAAAATAACCTCAGATTTTCACAGAATGTATAGAAACAGAACAAACCATCACAGAAACAGAAGATTTTATATGTAATGTTTTATTTTTGTTCTGTTTGAGCCGTTCACTCTCAAAAAGAAGTCATTTTACGTTTTGGAATCTGCTGCACACACTCACCCAAGACTGTGCAGCTTCAGTACAACATTTGAATGCAACAACTTCACCAACGGGCAAACAAAGTACCATAATAAATGTATGATGTTCAACACCTAAACTGTTCAATTTCATTGAGCTAGACTTAGTCATTTTCAAGAGAATTACTTTTAAAATGATGTCACATTTTTGGGACACCCTGTATATAGTTACATGTTTAATATCTTACTATATTCATTATACATTATAATTTATTTATATTTAATATTATAAATTATATAATATTTTATAATTTTACTAAATATACATTTTTGTAGGGAAAGCTTTCACGTGTAAAAGTTAAAGCAAAGTTACGGTGAGGAGATGTCCCTATTTACCCGGGACAGTCCCAGTGTTGAGCCCTGTGTCCCCTGTCCCTGCAGATTTGTCCAAAAATCTGTGATTTGTCCCAATTTTATACGAGAAAAGTCCCAATTGTCCATATTTTGGACCAATCTGATCCCTGCCAACAGTAAAGAGAGACATAAACTGTCATTTGTTCAGGTAAAATAGAGAAAAGCTTCTTAAAAATGACCAAAACACAAACGTGACTATACTGACTCATGTCAGTCGTGAATGAGCCGAGTGCACAACAGTTTCCCTTAATTACGCACTCGTTTCACAATTTTATTATTACCAACCACAACAAACCAGGGATGTCTCAGTTTTTGATTTTGAAGCTCTGGACACCTTACTCTCTAAACAAAGTTGTCGTTTTGACAGCTGTTTTGGTGACGTAGCATTAGCATTAGCTCTGTCATGTCTGTCACAGATCTACATTTAGCTCACTTAACTACAGCCTTTGCATACACAATAGAAGTATAAAGGCCGGATATGTGGAGATCTGTCAGTCGGATCCTGCAGGACAGGACTCAGTGTTCTTAACACTAAATCTATTACCAAACTATCATGTAATCTTACCTTGCTGCGTTTTCCCCCGGACTTTCACCGCAAACAAGATGAGGACGAGCAGAATGAGGGCCGCTGCGATGTACAACACAGGGTCCATGCTGCTGAGGAAATGTAGCGTGAATAAATATGAAATAAAAGTTGTATTTTGGTTTCAAAAGGCCTGATTCAGAACAGCACAGAGCACACTGTTGTGACGTGCAGCTGCGCATGCGTCACCTGTTACGTCACTGCAAAGGGGCTCGAACATTGCAATATCGCCCTCTACAGGCGGAGAGGCGTCAATGGCTGTCGATGTACTGTTCTATATTATATTACTATTACAATAAATCAGACATGGACATTGTTCGGCTCCTGGGCCACAAACGGCCCTTTGGTTGACTCTGACCGGCCCATTTAAGCTCATCTGGAATTACAAAATAAACATATTTTATCATTTGACCTCATGCATAGACTAAAGCTGCATTTGCTTTTATTTTTAAAAAAATTGTTCGGCAGTCTCACTTTTTCATTGCTTAGTCCTAACAAAAACTCTAAGCAGTCTGACCAGCTCGTCAAAACAATGTTATTTATTTCTTTTTATGAAGAAATGTAGTTAATATTCTGCAGAACTGAGTGAAGCCTTTAGCCTCCACAATATTTTCAGTTTCTCATGTGGCGCCATGGAAAAAATAATTGCCCTCCCCTGATGTATACTATTGTCTTTGCTCTCCATACAACTGTACAATTCACTTTTTTATAAAAAAAAATAAATAAAATAATAATAATAATAAAAAAATAACCCTGTGTCATGTCAAATCATCTTGTCTTTCATCTTTGCATTGTTTGTCTGTACCCCACCACCTCTTCTATATAACCGAGATATGTTTTTTATGTTTACGATATTTCTTTTACATAAACAAATTGTAAAATTATATGTTATTTTATATAACTGTGCATTATTTTAATTTTAGAACCATTCATGTTTTGCCTTTTCTTATTATATTGTAATGTGTGAAGTACCAGAGGTAGGGACTGGCAAGTCGTGACTTGGACTCAAGTCCGACTTGATTTTTAGGACTTGAGACCTGACTTGATAAAATGGACTAAGACTTGGGACTCGACTAGGACTTGTGGTGTGTGATTTGAGAAAACTTGATGATTTTCTTTAAAAAAAAATATATATATGTATTTAGAAAATACTTTTGTCTTTACAATTGATAATACAATTAATAAATGCAGTGCTGAATTTTACAAGAACAAACTGGAACATGTCCCTCCCACTTCTGTTTGTTACTTTGTATGTAACTGAAGTACTGTGAGATGGTATCCTCAAATGTATTACAGTAATATACAGTAACATGCAGTGCAATGCAGTAATATACAGTAGAACAGAGGAAACTACAAAACCATGATCTTTCTATTTCAGTGCAGGCTACATGACAAAATAACTGTTATTACACACTTTAAATCTGAATTCTTTCTGTTCTGACTGTAAGGATTCACACTTAAATCTTGTCAAGACATTTAAAAAAGAAAAAACTGCATTTCTGCAACTCTTATATAAATACTCATATAGAAATATTTATGACTTTTTAAGTACAATTTAGTTTAAACTTCTTATAAATTGCAAAAACCAGAGCTATATTTGGTACTATAAAGACTTGAAATGACTTGAAGCTAAAAACAGATGTCTTAAACTTGACTTAGAGTGACTTGAGACTGGACTTGGACTTGCCTGTATTTGACTTTGACCTCAGACTTGAGGTCAAAGACTTGAGACTTACAGCAGACTTGTAAAACAAAGACTTGGTCCCATTTCTATGAAGTACTATGACCAAGCAATTTCTCTCGTGGACCAATAAAATTTGAATAGACCTATATCTGTGTTTACAAAGTGTACGTTTTGGTGATTGATGATTAGTGATAAGATACAGTTGGACTCTTTGCTTTTGAAACACTCAGTACTGTTCACCTCCACCAGATGGCAGACTTATCTTTTCTACAGTCCTGTGTGCTGAGTAAGCGTGCCGAGGTCAAACATACTGAATATCATTGTTCTCAGACCCTGCTCACTACACCTCTCTCATATTCCATCTACAACAACCACAAATCTCATTTCAAATAGACCAATGTTCAGATAAGCTGCTGTGGCTGTTCTGAATTAACAAATTATTATAGACTTTCTTGAGAGGAGATGCTATAGGTGAGGTGACAAGTGTTTGTCCACTCACCCAAAATCCTGCTCTCGACATAAACATGATTGGATGAGCATCAGATCCACTGATCCACAGGTTGATGGTGCGATTTTGGCTCCCACAGATGAATGCTGTTGTTGTGTCCTTGAGCAAGACACTTACCCTGCCTCACCCCCAGAGTCTGTGTACACTGGTGTATGACTGTGTGTGTGAGTGGGTGAGTAAAGTAAAGTTGTTGTAAGGCGCTTTGAGCCATAAAGGTGGAAAGGTGCTGTATAAAAATGTGACCATTTACCAAGGACACTACTGCAGTATGTGCGGGCTGAGACATCTGTACACTTGAAAATCACCTGGGCTTCTTTTCTCTGTTCCACTACTTTATCACTAACCACTCACAAGAATGTTTATGACATGTATGAAGTATTAGATTTTATATATTATTATTTATTTTTCTATTTTATTTTGACTTGTACATATTAGAGGTGTAACAATAACCAAACTATCGTGATATTGTATCGTCAAAAGTCTCTCAATAACATCATGAGCCATCACAATATATTGAATCACAAGTTTTTTTGCTTAAATTCATTGTTATGGTGCAGCAATAGTTAAAAAAAACAGAGGGTACTACATAGACTATGGTCCTTTACTCTGTTTTGGTGCAAACTACATGAAGAAATAACAGTTCTAATCCCTTTTAAATCTTAGTTCTTTGAATGAAATCTTGTCAAGGCATTTAGAGAGGAAAAAGAAGCATTTTCACAATTATGTTGCCTTCACAAAATGTCACAAGAAATATCATACAGTGAGATTTGGATATCGTTACATCCCTAGTACATATACATTTACATAATTATGTCTTATTTGACTCTGGCTTTTGCTCTTTTTTGCTACTTATTTAGAATTTACAATTACCATTTATATTTTTTACTCTTTGTTATTATATTATAATGTGATGTGTGAGCTAATGTATCCAAATCAGTTTAATTGTGGATCAATAAATTTGTCTAAGTTAATGCACTAATGTCACAATGCTATAATTTCAAACTCTGATACTAAGGAATAGACTCAATACTCAATTCCAACACCACATGATAATAAATTAAAAAAACACTTTTTATTTAGACAATAGAATATTTTATTTACATTAAACATATTTACTTTATATGTGGTCTTATATGTGTGTAACCATCAGTGGTCCAGATATGTTCATGTTGGTCCATGTGTGTACATTAGTCTATGTGCTCTTCTACTTGCTCTGATACAGATCAAGATCATTCTAAAGTTATTCGGGGAAGGTTCATTCTGTCCTGTGAATGTGTCTTTTTAGTACAGACACTTGCTCAAATGAGTATCTAGTTTTGATTCGTATCTCATTTTCCACACTTCTCACAGCCCCCATTATGAACTTTATACTTCCATGTGAATCTATTTTTGGTGCATGTATGTTTGTAGGAATAAAAAACGCTGACGTCATCCTTTACATTCCGCTGACTCATGAATTCTCGGAGTGTTTTAATCAGTGACGGTCTCCGCAGAAGGACAAATCAAAGTCATGACTCTATTTTAGGCACTGGGCTGTACGATGCCTTATGTCATTGTCATAGTGTCACTAGTTTAGAGACACAAGAAAAACCTTTTAAATGATCATTTCTAAGTTGGACAATTGATTTTTGGGGCAATTCTAAACTAGTATGTAAGCTATGATAAGTTTCTAAAGAAGGACAGGCAGCTAGGTAGAGCATAAATAAAAGAAAAAGTATGAAAAGTTATTATTGCACAGTTGAGAGTGTGGGTGCTGTGATGGATGAGCTCATTTTTATAGTACATGCTCTCTATCTTGTTTGGGTTCTGGTTCAATTCCAATTTTGTCTCAGTGTACTGTAAGTTTAGCTCTGGGTAGGGTGACCAGATTTTCAGAATAAAGAACTGAGACATGCCTGGTTTGTGGTGGTTGGTAATAATAAAAATATGAAACGAGTGTGAAATTAAGGAAAAATGTTCTGCACTTGGCTCTAATGTGAGTCAGTATAGTCACATTTTCTTTGTGTGTTTGTCATTTTTAAGTATTTTTCTGTATTTTACCTCAACAAATGACAATTTATGTCTCTCTTTTCTAGGGGTGTGCAAAAATATTGAAATATCCATAAATTGTATCGTTTAATGTGATGATACAGTATCGATATTGTGGGCTGCTGTATCGATATATCACCAAGAATATTTTTTACTCAATTATTTTGTTACATTTGACATTTTCACTGTTTTGATGATTAAAATGTTTTGTTTCATATGAAATTTGCACAAGAAGTGGTTTAACAAAGACTTTAATGTATCACAGACATGATTTAGCCTTTATTTTTTATTTAACAGTATCGAATCGATAAATATTTCGGATTGAATCGTATCGCATCGTAAGCTCATTGTATCGAGATATGTATCATATCGTGGCCTATGTATCGAGGTATAAATGGTATCAGCAACTTCTGGATGATACCCAGTCCTACTCTTTACTAGGGCTGGAAGAATTTGCCGATACGATACATACATAGGCCACAATATGATACATCTTTTCGATACGGTACATGATATATTTCAAATTGATTTGATACAGTTCAGTGAAAAAAAGGCTAAATCATGACTGTGATACTAAAAGTCCACCAAAGTTTGTGCAGAGTTAATATGAAAAACACACATTTTATTCAAAAAGGTGAAAATGTCAACACAACTGCAGCTCTTACACAAAATAATTGAGTAAAATATACCAAAAAATACCCTTGGTGATATATCAATACAGCAGCCCATGATATCTATACTGTATTATCACATTAAATGATGCAATATATATTGATATTTCAATATTTTTGCACATCCCTACTCTTTACTGTTGGCAGGCATCAGATTGATCAAAAATAGGGACATCTGGGACATTTCTGGTATAAAACTGGGACAAATCAGTCGTTTTGGATAAATGTGCTGGGACAGGGGACACAGGGATCAAAACTGGGACTGTCCCGGGTAAACAGGCACATCTGGTTTGGTTACCCTGATT